TCGGGGCCTGATGGCTTCGGGCACGTCCCCCACTGATGCTCGCTCCCTCTGCCCTCTCACTCGGGGCTCTGCAGGCACCGACACGTCCTGGCCGTTCTTGCCGCCGTGGGTTCGCTCAGCCGGCCGGCACTCGCCCCAACCCCCAGGGGCTGCAGGGGCCTTCCCCCTCTCCTTCTCCCCTGGGACTCTTCTCCCCCTCTTTCTCTTCCGGGCAACGTTCCTCTGGTCTCCTCTCCCCTCCCTGTCCTCCAACGAAAACTCCCCAACATTACAGACAGGACGGCTCAAAACGAGACAAAACCAAAAGAAAGATCAGCGGCGCCGCCTCTCCGATGCCTCCTTGGCGCAGGCGCTGCTGGGCCGGGCTCTGGCCAGAGGCAGGTCCTGCTCCAGCTCCTGCCTGGGCTGGGGGAGGCTCTCCAAGTTTCGCTTTTTCCTAAAAACCCCTCAGGCTCACACCCACGACAAGGTCCCAGGGCTGTGTTCAGCCCACCTGAGGAAGCGGTACCGTGGGTATTTTGCTTCCTCTTACAAATCTTTTTACGTATCAGCCTTAAGAACCTGCAGGCGACTCGATTTCTCTCGGAAAAAATCCTTCCCTAGGGAGTGTGCGTTCACCCTACGGTAAACCAAGCAGAGATTCCTGTTTCTTTCTCTGTTCCTTGTTCCCAAATTCCACACCCGCTTGGCGAGGGAGCGGTAGGGCAAGGGGGAGGTAGAATAAACCATCCCGGGGGCTCAGTTTAAGCTGGTGTCTCATCCAGAGCCCCACAATCGCGCTGCAGAGCGGGAGCTGCGCGGCTTCACCACAGCCTTTGCCCGCCCTTAACGCGCCGGCAGCGCTGTTCCGAAACACCAACGTGGAGGACGTCCTGAACGCCAGGAAGCTGGAACGGGAGCTGCTGCGCGACGAGTTCCAGAAGAAAAAAGAGCAAGATAAACTCCAGCGAGAGAAGGAAAAGCTGGCCAGACAGGAGCGGAAGGAGAAGGAGAAGAAAAGGACACAGAAAGGCGAGCGGAAGCGATAGCTGCGGTTTTCTACTTGGACTTGGGGGATAAAATTAATTATGAATATGGTGTGTGTTTAAAAAGCAGCAGAAATTCGGGGCACGTGGCTGGCGAGTGGCTTTTCGAGAGTGTTTTTCTTTCTTCCTTTTATTTTTTTTGAAGCACCTCTTACCCTCGACGCATGCCATGTGCTTGTGGTGTCAAAACGTCGGGTGGTTGTGGCCAGTGTCCGTACCAAAGACCGGTGAAGTGATGATGTCCGTGTTTTTGAACTGATCGCTTTTTTGTTTGGTTTTGGTTTTTTTCCCCCTTCTAACGACTTTGAGCAAAGCAAAACGAGACGTTGGAGCTGGCTGCGTCCTCCTGGCCAGCCTCGCTTCACGAGAAGAGAGCAGAGCCCCTTTCTGACCTGTAATTAAGGACGTGCTGCTACGGGGCGAAGGGGAATATTTTGACACTGGCCTTGAACAAAATCCTCTCTGTGAATACACGTATTTATGCTGCTGAGAACAACGCTACAGCTTCGTCCTGCCTGAGCCGACCTCGGCGAGAGCACGCGCCGTTCCGCAGCGAGAGAAAGGGGACGCGATGAAATATAGATGAGCAGCAGCTACGAGACCGCGGCACCTGCCGGCTCCGGGTAAGGATGACGCCGCGCTGCCGGTCGAGTCCGTGTATTTTAAAGACTTCCGTGCTGGCAGCTGGAAATCGGAGCTCCTCGATGTGCCGGGGAGGGGGTGAACGTTGACTGCGGTGACTGCGGCGGTTGCCTGGGCCAACACTTTAAGCTGTGCTGGGTTTACAAGCCGGTTGTTCTCGCTGGACACAGCTGCTCGCCCAGGAGGGGCTGAACCCTCTCTAGAAGGGCTCGTCAGGTGCTGTCCCCAGCCTTTACCGGGATGCTGTCACCCGCCTCCGGAGAGGAGAACGCTCATCTCTGTAAATTGGGCGGGAAGGAGGAGCCCCAGCACTTTCAGGGGCTCCCATCGTCAGCGCCCGCGGAGCGAGGGGTCGCGCCTCCGCTTTAACCGGCCGCTGCAAGTGTGTCGACTGCTTTATCTTTGGACTCCAAACAATAAAACTGGTTGGCCAGACAGTGGGTTTCTCTGTCGGAGCATGCGTCGGGGTGAGTGATGGTGGACAAGGGGGCTCCCCCTGCGTCCCTCTTGGGCGGCAGCGAT